GGTTAACTCCGGCGTGGGTCACATCTTTTATCTGAACAAGGTCGCCGTCGACATGGATCCAGTCACCGGTTCCGAAACCGAACGGCTTCTTTCAGAGATCGCGAAATTCGTCGAAAAGCATTGAATTATATTAATTCCGTATAGTACGATAAATCCGTTCAATAAAATGTAGTCATTTTCGTGAATGGTGTGTGGTATGCGATATTGATGTTGTGATTTGAGGGTAGACAATGTCGACAGAAGCAGGAAAGAAACAAAGAAATTTGAGGTGTGCGAATAGGAAGCAACACTGTGTCGTGTTCTCTAGAACACTCCCGGAGAACACTCCCTTAAAAGTTATTTCCGGCGACTCTCCAGTAGCGCGTAAATATATATATGCTCAGGCAACAGAGGTTGAAGGTTTAGGAATGCAGTGTTTTAGGCGTCTGTAATCTGTGTGTTTATAGCTTGTATTGCATGGGTTATTTATTCTATTAGAAGCTCAACAACCTTAGCAATGCTGTCCACAAATATGCTGTTGTCCACAAAGCTAGGTAAAAGGAGAGAAACGTGGATCACATTCTGAAAAAGTTTATGCGATTGAGCAGCACACCCACAGCCACTCAACTGAACATTAACCATAGAGGCTACACTATTATATTGCTGGTGAGACTTGATCTCTGACCATTCTTCTAAACTTTTACCTCTATAACTAGTTGAGCTACTCATGCAGGCATTTTCCCAACAAATGCATGTATGTATTGGTTGAGGTTGACGTGAAGTCTTTCCTTATACAGTATAGTAGTTGCACCCGTGCGATACACGGACATATGATATATATAAGAAATTAACAGTAGTGTAAAAAAAAACAATAGAATAGTATATGAAATAATTACTGAAAAAACGATCAACATTGCATTGTATTACACATTATTGAAAGTTTCTTTGTATACGACATTGTCAGTCTTACTTACAAATGATACATTATCCCCACGTATCAAAATTTTTAATCCCCTAGAATTACTTACTTGAGACTGCTACATACATTTGACCATGATTAAAGATCTTCATTCTAAAAAACAAATCCACCTGTGATAGTGTTTGCCCTTGACTTTTATTTATTGTCATGTCATATGATATTATCAAAGGAAATTGATTTCTTTGGAACTTGAAAGGCAATCTTGAATCAGAAGGTGTTAACGACATTTGACAAATTGATGGTAACCTGTTATCATGTGAAATTGCACATTTTTGGAGTGTTCAGTGGCCTAATTACACTTTTTTTTTTTTTCGTTCAGTGGCCTAATTGCATTTTCAAGTTACGTTCAGTGGCCAATTTGAACCTTATTCCTTTAATATAATATAGATTCTATGACTCATCGTCATTATTCATTATTGTTATTACTATTATTATTATAGTAAAATTGCATCTTTAGTCCCTCAATTACAACCAAGTTCCGACTCAGTCCCTAAGTCATGATTGTATCCGAGTTTAGTCCCTAATTTATGATTGTATCTGAGTTTAGTCCCTCAGTTATGAGCAAAGTGGCGAGTTTGGTCCATAGTGTTAATATTCCGTCTGCAGCTAACGGAAAATATAAAAATAATTTAATAATAGAGGGGTAAAATAGGAATTTCAAATTATAATCATCTTCTTATGTTGAAGCCCATTGCGAAACAATCATTCTTTTATTCTTATACGTACAATTGAATGTCGTTTTCTTCCCAAAGCTTTGAAATCACAAATTCGTCCACTTTCAAATTGCGAAATTCATAAGTATAAGTTGTTTCTCTATTTTATATGTTTAAATAAATAATCAATATTCTCTGTATTTATGAGCAAGAAAAAAGTAACTTGGAGGTAGACCTGCCAATTCGTGTATATGGGTCCGTTAACGAGTCGACATGATAACGACACGAACACGATAAGCCTAAACACGAACACGACACGCTATTATTAACGGGTTCAAAATTTTAACACGAACACGATTTGTTAACGAGTTGACACGATAGACACATTTTATTAGCAGGTTTCAAGTCGTGTCGACACGAAACCCGTTATTTCTATTAATATATTTAAAAAACTAAAATTTAAAGTTAAGTTATATAATAATAATAAAAAAACTTAAAATTCAATCCATCAAACAAACTAAAAAATATTCAATTCATAACATTCATAAAATGATAAAATAACATCCAAAAAGCATAATTAAAGGAGTACATACTAGTTTTTAGAATAAAATTGAACACACAAAAAATTCAAATTTCAAATTGTTAAGCATAACAATTGGTGTAGGATCTTGGCCTAATTTAGTAAATTCATCATTAGTCAAGTTCATAATATCTTTTGTAACCTAATTCATGAGAATGGTTCTTACCTAAATGACAACAGTTCTTAGTGGGTTATAAACATGTTTGTGAAAACGGGTTCATGTTAACAGGTTAACACGATAATATTAACGGATTAAACGGATTCTTAATGGTTTAACGGGTTGACCCGTTAAGACACGAAACATAACGGGTTCTTAACGGGTCAACTCATTAACGACCCGGGACACATTAAAGCTAAACACTAACCCGTTATTTTCATGTCGTGTTAACGGGTCGTGTCCATAATTGCCAAGTCTACTTGATATAAAATAGAGAATATTGATTACGGAGTATTTATTTAAACATATAAAATAGAGAAACGACTTGCCTATGAATTTCGCATCTTGGAAGTGGATGAATTTAAGACTTCAGAGCTTGGGAAGAAAAAAAATCTTCAATGGTAGATATAATAATAAGAAGAAAATAATGACGGTGGCGCAATGGGTTTCAACATAAGAAGGGGATTATAATTTGAAATTCCTATTTTACCCCTCTATTATTAAATTGTTTGTAAGTTTTCCGTTAGTTGCAGACAAAATATTAACGCTAGGGACCAAACTCGTCACTTTTCTCATAACTGATGGACTAAACTCGGATACTACCATAACTTAAGGACTGAGTCGGAACTTGGTTATAACTCAAGGACTAAAGATGCAATTTTCCCTATTATTATTATTATTATTATTGTTATTATTATTATTATTATTATTATTATTATTATTATTATTATTATTATTATTATTATTATTATTATTATTATTATTATTATACTTTTTAAATTATTTAAAGTGGATTCAAATTAACCTATACACCCCACATTGTCCGTTATATCTATACTAGTCGCGGACAGTCCAACAATAATATATGTAAAATTTAATAATTGTTATATGAGAAAATAAAGCATACATAAATACGTTATTTAAATAACAAAATGATACAAATACAAATTATAAATGTAAATTTTATCATCCGGTGGTTCTCTAACACACCACTCTGCCACCACTTCAAAGAAACTCAAACGTAACCTAGATGAATATTTTCTAGAAGACATAAAATTCTAAGGAAAAAATAAAAATTTATTTAGAAACTCTATCAATAAATAATTAATCAAGAAACAAATTCTTGAATATATTATTATGAAATTAGAATTATTAAGTCATTTAATAAAACAATAGACAAGAATTATGAAATAATACGTAATTTAATTATTTGTCAAGAAAATTGAAGAACTTAGTTTGTATGATAAAAAAAATTAAAGAATCAGTAGCACACTAATTGAGTTTGTCGTCTTTTACGTCAATTCATTAAATTGCACTGTGTAGGAGACATCAAACAGCAAAAAACACAAATAAACAACCAAATTAAATATTTAAATAATTAAATTATTACTCAAATTAAAGAATTAGCAACCTCAATAATCAATAACTCAAATTTAATACTAAAATTGCTTCAATTACCTAGGCCAATGGTCTGTCGCTCTATTCTATGCCTGCTCTCTGATCTGCCGCTAGATTAGGATTTAGGAATTTAAGGTAGGGTTTGAGTTTGTCGCTACAACTACTTGCTTTGTTGAGTTGTTCGTGTAAGTGTCAAATTATTTACACATTAGACTTATTGGCTATTTTATTTAGTAATAGATTTATTAATTTTTTAATTAATTAGAGTTGTTAGAATTTATTCTTTTTAGACAATGTGATATATAAATGAGTGGATGGTATGCATTGATGAATAAAGAGAAAGTCAGCAACGAAAAAAAGCTTTCAAAGAAAACAAAAGATGTGGCTGTGAATCATTCGAACAAAGAAAAGGCTACATTTAAGGATCACAAATGAAGCTCAATATATGCTATAAAAGGAAGCTGTTAGAAAGTGGACATTTGCTGATTTTTGAGATTAACATATTGAGTGCACATCTGCTTGGCAAAGCTTCCTATTTTAATTTATATTATTATCCAATTCGTAAGAATATTTAATCTGTATTACATGATCAGTACGTGGTACTGCTGAAGCACATACTGAAGATAGTTCGGGTATTGGTGTGTCAATCCTGGATAGGTGTTAAAAAGAGTGGTAGTGGTAAAGGCTGAAGGCCATCTTTATTTACCTCTTGTAATACTCCTTTTGGTGAACATCTATAGTGGATTGGGCAGACGTGGGGTGCCCTGCAGACGTAGGAGAAGGAGCTTCGAACTGCGTAAAAATTTCTTTGTGTTTTTACTTTCATTTATGCTTTCGGTTTTCATTATTTATATTTGTTTAAACAAGTTTAATTAATGAATGTAATTGGTGCTTAATTAAAAAACAAGTAAAAATACGTTAGTTTTTTTATTTCAAGTCTCACGTTGGTCCACACTGTTGAAACATACGTTGGTCCACACTGTTGAAACTCCACCTGTACCGATTCCGTCTGGATCAAAATCTAAGGATACCAAAAAGTCTTATAGGCCCATTCTGTTGTCTCGTGAGCTGTTATCCGAATGGAAAATTCATGCCAACCGGGATTTCATTCTAGAGAAATCCATCAATGTGGAGGAATTAACTGCCAAGTGCAACATTATTCCAATTCTCAGAGATCAACATCTTTTTTCATCTCTCACTCATGTTGGGCCATACTCTGCCTGGCTCACTGCCGAGTTTTATACAAATCTTACAATGGATACCTTCACAGATGATTCAGAGCACTTTCAACAGGTGTTTATTAGAGACAAGTGGTATCCGTTTGGACCAGCTGAAATTAATGCCTACTTGGGGACTCCAAATCATCAAGCCGTGCCTTATCCTAATCCCCACTTATTAGCTGCGGCCCTGACTCACAACAAAGCCGTTACTTGGCCGCAAAATGGTCTCAAAAGTTTGCAACTCACAACGGTCTACTCCGTGCTTCTCTGTCTTGCCTCAGCCAACTGGATACCGGCAGTACGACAACACTTTGTCTCGGATCAACTAGTCGCCCTCCTCTACAAAATTCGAAACGGGCTCCCGTTCAATCTTGGAGATCTTATCTTTTCCCATATCATTAAGACTTTCTTAAAGAAAAAAGAAGCCAAGGTTCATCTCCCATATCCAAGTTTGATTTTTGGTGTTCTTCAAGATCATGGTTTCAAGCCCTATAAGGATGAAGTAGTGACCCCTCATGACAATGTGTACCTATATGATGACCGTCTGACCCAAAGAGACCACTATGATGATCGCGCTTCACTCAGTCTGCCTCCCGCCATTGCTATGTCTACTCCTCTAGTTTCTGCTCCAGCCACATCTGAGGACACTGTTTCTGCTTCGTTACCCGGCTCCAGACCAGTTCCAAAAGAGCCTCATGTTGGAAAAAATAGCTAAAAATGGCATAAAATGGCATGTTAAGTGGCTATTTTGTGGTACAATTATCAGTGGGGTCCACTTCCGATTTGGGTAGGGGGTTAAAGTGGATTCGGATTCTTCGTAGTGAGACGAAGAGATCGATATATTGTACGCTCAAAACGGATAATGGGTGAATGAGATATTGATTCTCAAAGTAGACCCATTTGAGTTGGAAAATGAAGGGAAAAAGTGTGCTTTTGTCCCACATTGCTTTGGAATGAAGATTTTCCCCCCTTATATACAAGAGCTCTTTTGAAGCTTGTAGAATTGTATAGCATAGAGGCTCTCTCGCGCCGGGGGGGGGGGGGGGGTGGGGTGCAAATCAAATTCCAACTAGCAGAGATTGAAAAAGGCTTGATTCAAGCCCAAGCTCGTGTGCGCCGGCACCTGGGGGCACGAATGTCGTCCGAAAATTGGCCCGCCTTGCGGGCTAAGTTATGCCAAACTTCGGTATCATTTTCCAACTGGTATAGCCACTTGGTTCGGCCAGAACCGAACCGAGAGCACCTACTCTTGTGCTACAAGAGAGCACGAGAGGTTGTGGTGCACCGAGAGCACAACTCTCGTGCAACAGCCACCTACTCTCGTGCTACAAGAGAGCACGAGAGCTTGTGGTGCACCGAGAGCACAACTCTCGTGCAACAGAGTCCACGAGAGGTGCAAGGGCTGAAACTGGATGAGGTCGAAAGTTGAGACCGAACCCTGTACGCTAACGGTCTAGAACCCAAAAGTTCTGACTGTTGAGGGGATTGAATTCATCTGTTACGGAATTAATTGTCTATTAATTCCAATTTTGAATTCTGAATTCAATTCCCAGGTAGTGGCCTGCTGTTATAGCTGTTGGAAGGCAGCTTTAATGTCATTTTTAATTGCCATAATAAAGGCTATTGGCTCCTTCAACCCTATATAAGAGAGGGTAGAGGCAGTAGAGTTTTACACACTGTGAGAACAGCAAGAACACTGCACGAAACATTGTTTTTCCAGCCTCAAAATTCTGCTTCTACTCCTCTTCTTAGCCATACTGTGTTCATAACCACGTCTTGCTCGCTGGATCCTTTGTTTGAATGCTCAAACATTGGATCATAGCAAGTTTTATCCTGGGAAGCCTAGGCCACAACGCTCCTAGCATCAACGGGAGGTGGCAAATAAGGTTTTAAGGAAATAGTGCTCACTCGACTCTTGCAAAAACCCAACATGAAACACTAGCCTTTTCCTTCATCTTTTCTTCTCTCATTTCTAGAAAATAATAGTAATATTTTATTTGATTATTATTTGTTTTCCTACCAACGATTCCTACAATCTTAAAACCTTATATTATTTGTTTTCCCGTTGGTTGTTTTCTCGAATTTCCTTGAAGAAATGGAGAACCCGGAGTTGCCAATTGTTAACAATGGGGAAGAAAATGTTGTTGAGAACAACAGTGGTGGGAATGGCAACAATGTTGCTAACTCCCAAGCTACACCAGTGAACGTTGGTTCACAAGATGGTGGGAGCACTGAGGGATATATTCCCATGTCTCGGGTACCTTCGGTACCTCGTGGTTCGGCAGAAAAGCCGGAGAAGTTTACCGGTGTTGGTTTGAACTTCAAGAGGTGGCAACAGAAGATGTTGTTCTACCTAGCAACTCTCGGCTTGGCAAGGTTCTTGTCCGAGAAGGTTCCCGAGTTGAAGGAACAAGATGCACAATCCGTGATGGTAGTTGGCTATTGGAAGGATTCGGACTTCCTTTGCCGAAACTACATCCTGAACGGATTGTGTGACACGCTATACGATGTATATCGAAAGATAAGCACATCAAAAGCGTTGTGGGAAGCTTTGGATCATAATACCGAAGTAAGGATGCCGGCTCAAAGAAATTTGTAGTTGGCCGATTCCTCGACTTCAAAATGGTTGATTCAAAGACCGTGCTAAGTCAGGTAGAAGATTTGCAATTAATCTTTGACGAGATCCGTGAAGAGGGCATGGTGCTAAGTGAAGCCTTCCAAGTGGGATCTGTGATCCATTTGTTGCCTCCAGGTTGGAAGGACTTCAAGAACTACCTTAAGCATAAGCGAAAGGAGATGAATCTGGAGGACCTGATCCAGCGACTCAGGATTGAGGAAGGGTACAGGACGAATGATAGGAAAGTTCCTATTGTTGTTGGTGCTAAGGCCAACGTTGTAGAGCACGGTAAGAGCTCCAAGAGGAACAAGAAGGACAAGAGAAAGCTAGGTCCGAAAGGTGGCGTTACCAAGAACAAGTTTCCTGGTGAATGCTACAATTGTGGCAAGCATGGCCACAGAGCATCTGAATGCAAGGCTCCAAGGAAGAAGAACAAGAGTTCTGAAGCCAACGTTGTTGGAGATAGCAGTCAGAAGGAGGTCGAGATTAGCCTTTCGGCTATGGTGACCGAGGTGAACCTCGTGGGCTCAAACCCTCGTGAATGGTTCATTGATACCGGTGCAACCAGGCACTTGTGTTGCAACCGAGAGATGTTCAACACCTTTGAGACCGTTGAGGGTGAAAAGGTATGGATGGGAAACTCTGCTCAGTCTGCTGTGGAAGGCATGGGCAAGGTAGTTCTGAAGATGACTTCCGGGAAGGAACTAACGTTGAACAACGTGCTGTATGTTCCTGAGCTGAGGAAGAATCTTGTGTCTGGCTCTCTGTTGAACAAGCATGGCTTTCGCATGGTGTTCGAGTCCGACAAAGTAGTTTTGTCCAAGTTAGGGATGTTTGTTGGTAAAGGATATGTAACTGATGGGCTCTTTAAGCTCAATGTAATTCATGTTATCAATAAAAACAAAGTTAATTCTGTTTACTTGATTGAGTCTTCCAGTTTGTGGCATGGTAGACTAGGTCATGTTAATTTTAATTCTATGCGTAGATTAATTAGCATGGACCATATTCCTAACTTTCAAATTGACACAAATAACAAGTGTGAAATTTGTGTTGAGGCAAAACTAACGAAAGTACCTTTCAAATCGGTTGAAAGGGAAACTGAACCACTAGAATTAATCCATAGTGATTTTCGTGATTTTAGATCGATACAAACGAGAGGTGGTAATAAGTATTTTACCACATTTATCGACGATAGCACACGATACTGCTATGTGTATTTGCTTAAGAGCAAAGATGAAGCCGTTGATAAATTCGTTCTTTATAAGAATGAAGTAGAAAACTAACTTAATCGGAGGATTAAGAAGGTTAGAAGCGATCGAGATGGTGAGTACGAAGCACCTATTGGTGACTTCTGTGCGAGTGTAGGTATAATACACGAGCGTACTGCACCTTACTCACCTCAATCGAACGGTGTTGCCGAACGAAAGAATCGTACATTGAAAGATATGATGAATGCGATGCTTATAAGTTCGGGCCTACCTCAAGATGCGTGGGGTGAGGCTATTTTGACAAGTAATTACCTTTTGAATAAGGTACCCCGAAAGAAGCTCGATAAGACTCCTTATGAGCTGTGGAACGGTAGGAAACCTTCCTACCAGTACCTGAAAGTGTGGGGGTGTCTTGCCAAAGTTTTGGTGCCAACACCTAAGAAAGTAAAGATAGGTCCTAAGACGGTGGACTGTATCTTTATTGGCTATGCATATAATAGTAGTGCTTATCGGTTCTTAGTACACGAGTCCCATAATCCGGATGTACACGAGAACACGATAATAGAATCAAGGAATGCATATTTCTTTGAAAATATATTTCCTTGTAGGTCCAACGAGGGACCAAGTACGTCAAAACGAACATTTGACAAAACTATGGATAATGATAGTGGGGAATCCGAGAGAGAACCCGAGCTCGAGCTGAGACGCAGTAAGCGGGCGAGAGTTGGAAAATCATTCGGTCCTGATTTTCTTACTTACTTGTTAGAGTATGAATCGGGTACTCTAACTTGTTTATTAGAAAATGAACCCGATTTTCTATCTTGTTTGATAGAAAACGAGCCTCAAACGTATGTAGAAGCCGTGACTTCTACGGAAGGACCAATGTGGAAAGAGGCTATAAAAAGTGAAGTGGATTCTATCCTACAGAATCACACTTGGGAACTCGTTGATCTTCCTCCGGGTAGTAAACCCTTAGGATCCAAGTGGGTCTTTAAAAGGAAGATGAAACCGGACGGTTCCATCGAGAAGTATAAGGCTAGGCTTGTAATCAAGGGTTACAGGCAACGCGAGGGCCTCGATTACTTCGACACGTATTCTCCCGTGACGAGAATAAACTCCATTAGGATGATTCTTGCCATAGCCGCGCTGTGGAACTTGGAAGTTCATCAAATGGATGTGAAAACCGCTTTCCTAAATGGCGAATTAGATGAGGAAATCTATATGGAACAACTCGAAGGGTTCGTGGTTCCAGGCCAAGAAAGGAAAGTGTGTAAGTTGGTTAAATCGCTCTATGGTTTAAAACAAGCGCTTAAGCAGTGGCACGAGAAGTTTGACCATGCGATGTTAACTAACGGATTTAAAATAAACGAAAGTGACAAATGTGTCTACGTTAAGGAAACGATAGACGGCTACGTCATTCTTTGTTTATATGTCGATGATATTCTCATCGTTGGTAGTAATGATCAGATGATCAAGTCTACCAAGAACATGTTAAATGCGAGATTTAACATGAAGGATATGGGTTTGGCTGATTTAATCCTAGGGATTAGAATCATTAGAAGACCTGATGGTCTCGTGTTAAGCCAATCACATTATATTGACAAAATCCTTGAGAAATTTAACAAGGATGATAGTCAAGTGGCTAGGACACCATTTGATACAAATATTCATCTAACCAAGAACCACGGAGAAGGTATTTAACAAGTGGAATATGCTCAGGTCATTGGTAGTTTGATGTATCTTATGAGCTGTACTAGGCCGGATATTGCCTATGCGGTTAGTAAACTCAGTAGATATACGAGTAACCCCGGTGCCATGCACTGGAAGGCAATAGTAAAAGTTATGAGATACTTGAGGTATACTCGTGATCTAGGACTGCACTACGGGAGATATCTCGCTGTACTTGAAGGGTATAGCGACGCGAACTGGATATCCGATATTAAGGACTCTAAGTCTACGAGTGGCTACGTGTTTACACTAGCCGGTGCAGCCGTTGCATGGAAATCCTCTAAGCAAACTGTGATAGCTAGATCCACGATGGAATCTGAGCTAATAGCCTTGGACAAAGGTTGTGAAGAGGCTGAATGGCTATGCCATTCTATAGAGGATATTCCTAATTAGGAAAGACCGGTACCTCCAATATGTGTGCATTGCGATAGTCAAGCCACAATTGGGAGAGTACAGAGTCATATGTATAATGGTAAGTCTAGACACGTGCATCGTAGACATAATACCATTAGACAACTACTCACAACTGGTGTTGTCTCGATTGACTACGTAAAGCCAAAAGACAATATAGCGGATCCGCTGACCAAAGGGTTAGGAAGAGAAGTTGTTGAGAAGTTGACACGAGGAATGGGTCTACTGCCCTTGGACTAAAAAGTTCTATAGTGGATACCCAACCTAGCTGGCACCTAGGTTTAATGGGACAACTAAATTATGGAACGGAGCGCATCACTGTGGGGGTCTCGTACTCCTTACCACTCCTCGTTAAAACAGTAACTCCCGCAAGAGGCTAGCATGTTAATGCTTTAATGATTCTTGAGTATGCGGGATACTCGAGAAAGAATCACCTATGTTAGAGAGAAGTGAGGGTCACTTCAAAGGAGAATTGTTGGGCACAATTCTTTAGAAACTCTCGCAGAACCAGGAACGGTGACCCACGACCAAAACGGGCACACTCATGAGAGCAAGAGCATGGTTGGGAGATTCCTGTGTGAGATTTGTCATCGTCTACACAAACGGCAGTCGGTTCAAAGACATCGCGTTCTACCGTACAGCCAGTAGAGTAAACATGTCTTTACGAGGGAAGGTTCAAAGGGTATAGTGACTCCCTACCTATCCTATGCAGGGATCGACCGTTTGAACACAGTTGTTTCCGATTTCAAAATACCCCGAAAATCAATTTTTCATTCATGTGGGGGATTGTTGGAAAAAAATAGCTAAAAATGGCATGTTAAGTGGCTATTTTGTGGTACAATTATCAGTGGGGTCCACTTCCGATTTGGGTCGGGTTAAAGTGGATTCGGATTCTTCGTAGTGAGACGAAGAGATCGATATATTGTACGCTCAAAACAGATAATGGATGAATGAGATATTGATTCTCAAAGTAGACCCATTTGAGTTGGAAAATGAAGGGAAAAAGTGTGCTTTTGTCCCACATTGCTTTGGAATGAAGATTTTCCCCCCTTATATACAAGAGCTCTTTTGAAGCTTGTAGAATTGTATAGCATAGAGGCTCTCTCGCGCGGGGCGGGGGGGGGGGGGTGGTGCAAATCAAATTCCAACTAGCAGAGATTGAAAAAGGCTTGATTCAAGCCCGAGCTCGTGTGCGCCGGCACCTGGGGGCACGAATGTCGTCCGGAAATTGCCTGGCCTTGTGGGCTAAGTTATGCCAAACTTCGGTATCATTTTCCACTTGGTTCGGCCAGAACCGAACCGTGCTACAAGAGAGCACGAGAGGTTGTGGTGCACCGAGAACACAACTCTCGTGCAACAGCCACCAAATCTCATGCTACAAGAGAGCACGAGAGGTTGTGGTGCACCGAGAGCACAACTCTCGTGCAACAGAGTCCACGAGAGGTGCAAGGGCCGAAACTGGATGAGGTCGAAAGTTGAGACCGAACCCTGTACGCTAACGGTCTAGAACCCGAAAGTTCTGACTGTTGAGGGGATTGAATTCATCTGTTACGGAATTAATTGTCTATTAATTCCAATTTTGAATTCTGAATTCAATTCCCAGGTAGTGGCCTGCTGTTATAGCTGTTGGAAGGCAGCTTTAATGTCATTTTTAATTGTCATAATAAAGGCTATTGTGTCCTTCAACCCTATATAAGAGAGGGTAGAGGCAGTAGAGTTTTACACACTGTGAGAACAGCAAGAACACTGCACGAAACATTGTTTTTCCAGCCTCAAAATTCTGCTTCTACTCCTCTTCTTAGCCATACTGTGTTCATAACCACGTCTTGCTCGCTGGATCCTTTGTTTGAATGCTCAAACATTGGATCATAGCAAGTTTTATCCTGGGAAGCCTAGGCCACAACGCTCCTAGCATCAACGGGAGGTGGCAAATAAGGTTTTAAGGAAAGAGTTCTCACTCGACTCTTGCAAAAACCCAACATCAAACACTAGCCTTTTCCTTCATCTTTTCTTCTCTCATTTCCAAAAAATAATAGTCATATTTTATTTGATTATTATTTGTTTTCCTACCAACGGTTCCTACACCTCAAACTCTCGTTGATCGTAGACAGATTGTGGTTACTCTTGAGGCCTCGATTGCACAAATTCAACAGTCTGTCGCTTCTCAACTAGCCACTATTTCTGGCCTTGGAAACCTACGAGATGCTCAGCTTAAGGAGATTGCACGTATGGAGGAAATACATGCTCAAATTCTGGCTGACACTGGTGCTGCTTCTTCTGGTTCCGATTATGAAGATGACGATGATGATTCGGACTCGGGCACCCCGTCTGCACGGTAAATCTGATCCACTATTATGATATTCACTTTCCTTTGTCATTTATTTGGCAAAAAGCGGGAGTTTTTTTTTAAAGTGGTATATTTTGGATTATTATTGGAAGTGGTATATTTTGGATTATTATGTAGTGGTATATTATTATGTAGTGGTATATTATTATGAAGTGGTATATTATTGAAAGTTTTATGTTATCTTTTATAATAGGATTATTATGTTAGGGGGAGTAGTAATCCCGTTTTGGTGCTCTTAATACCATTTTGTATGGAATGTTGCTACTACTCACATGAACAAGTTGAATTATGATATGGTCTGCTGTGTATTCAACCCTACTGTGTGTGGTTCAAGGCTTGAAGAATTCTAATCAGGCACACTATTCATTAATTGTCCAAAAAGGAATTAAGTTTAAATTTTGTAGTTATTATATCTTTGCGTCTTGTCCAGTACCTATACTAAGGGCTATTAATAAAATTAAATTGAGTCTCAATTTTTGCCCAAAGTATTTCATACTTAAGTTTTACAAAATAAAATGCCAAAGGGGGAGTTTGTAAGTGTAAAATTATTTACACATTAGACTTATTGGATATTTTATTTAGTAATAGATTTATTAAGTTGTTAATTAATTAGAGTTGTTAGAATTTATTCTTTTTGGACCATGTGATATATAAATGAGTGAATGGTATGCATTGATGAATAAAGAGAAAGTCAGCAACACATGAAGCTTTCAAAGAAAACAAAAGCCGTGGCTGTGAATCATTCGAACAAAGAAAAGGGTACATTTAAGGATCACAAATGAAGCTCAATATATGCTATAAAAGGAAGCTGTTCGAAAGTGGACATTTGCTGATTTTTGAGATTAACATATTGAGTGCACATCTGATTGGCAAAGCTTCCTATATTAATTTATATTATTATCCAATTCGTAAGAATATTTAATCTGTATTACATGATCAGTACGTGGTACTGCTGAAACACATAGTGAAGATAGTTCGGGTATTGGTGTGTCAATCCTGGATAGGTGTTAAAAAGAGTGGTAGTGGTAAAGGCTGAAGGCCATCTTTATTTACCTCTTGTAATACTCCTTTTGGTGAACATCTATAATGAATTGGGCAGACGTGGGGTGCCCCGCAGACGTAGGAGAAGGAGCTCCGAACCGCGTAACAATTTCTTTGTGTTTTTATTTTCATTTATGCTTTCGGTTTTCATTATTTATATTTGTTTAAACAAGTTTAATTAATGAACGTAACTGGTGCTTAATTTAAAAAAAACAAGTAAAAATACATTAGTTTTTTATTTCAAGTCTCACGGTGCAATTTCAGTTCGAATGCTGTAGCTGCGGTATACATACTCTAATTATTATTATTTTTTAATATATGGGGCTCCAAAATTTGGGTGCCCTATGCGTCGGCCCGGCCTGCCCACCAACAATCCTCATGCTAAAGATATGTTCATTATCATCTAGGAGCTTTAATCTCTCCTTGCGTATGACTGCCGAAAGGGTGTTGCTATTTGCACCACCCTTTAACCAAAAGACATCTTGAAATTGTAAAAAGTAAAATTTTTTAATAATTAATAGTTGGTGTAAATAGTCAAATGGGGGTAAATTTTGTTATTTGCACCACTTGGTCAAACTTGCAATTAATAATTTATTAATTCAATATATTTAATTAAATAAAATATTTATTAAAAAAAAAAAACAACGAACTGTCACCTTCTCTTGTGAGAAGGCGACGGACTGCCTTCTCACCGGAGAAAGCAACTAGGCTGCCTTCTCCGGTGAGAAGGCAGCCTAGTGGGTTGCCTTCTCATCGAGTTAGTTTCTACTTAGGTCGCCTTCTCCGGTGAGAAGGCAGCCCCACGCCCTCTCACCGGAGAAGGTGACAGATTTTTATTTATTTATTTATTTATTTTTTATTTTTTGTAAAAAATAGGGGCTGCCTTCTCCGGTGAGAAGGCAGCCCCGTGGGTCGTCTTCTCTCTAGAGAAGGTGACGGGTTCATCACCTCCTTCTTCTTCTTCTTCTTTTTTTTTTTTTTTTTTTTTTTTTTTTTTTTTTTTTTTTTTTTTTTTTTTTTTAAGTATTGGGTTGCCTTCTCCGGTGAGAAGGCAGGCCCACGCCCTCTCACCGGAGAAGGTGCCGGATTTTTATTTATTTATTTATTTATTTTTTGTAAAAAATAGGGGCTGCCTTCCCGTGGGTCGCCTTCTCACCAGAGAAGGTGACGGGTTCATCACCTTCTTCTTTTTCTTCTTTTTTTTTTTTTTTTTTTTTTTTTTTTTTAGTATTGGGTTGCCTTCTCGGGTGAGAAGGCAGCCCAGTGGATCGCCTTCCCCGTTGAGAAGGCAGTCCGTCACTTTCCCACCGGAGAAGGTGACGGGTTCGATCACTTTTTTTTTAAATTAATATTTTAATGGTTAAAAAAATAAAAAATAAAATATAATATTTAACCACATTTAATGATTGTGGACTTTGTTATTTGCACCATCTATAAAGTTGTTAGACTTATTAAATAGGTGGTGCAAATAGCAAAATAGGTGGTGTGAATAGAATTTCCTTTGCCGAAAATCCTAACGTAATGTTAACTTCTATAACACTTCCAATTCCAAGGTCTCCTTGCAAGATGCACCTGCTCATAAATGGTTTATACCTTTGTAGCTGATCAAATCTCCTCACCAACGACTATACCAACAAAAAGTAATTAAAAATTAAAGATTGTAAAGACTGAAAATAAACATAAACGCTGCTGCAAAATGGTGTGTTATCTTTTGATTTCGATCGGCAGAAGAATAAGGCAACCAAAGAATTTGTTTCATTAAGGGACAGCCAAACAATTGTTTAATCCCATACTCTTCGTAATCCGCTACTTTTGCCAGTTTTAATTTTAGGGAAATTGACTGTTCTAGGCATCTTGCCTTTGTGTTGGACAAAAATAGGAAGTTGAATAATTTTGGACGGTCAAGGAAAAATCGAGTTTGAAAAATACAATTGGGCTGAAAATCGCATTTTCTAAACTCGATCATACTTAATGGTTTTCTCTCTCTGCGGCAATATCAGCCGCATTTGAAAAATGCAGCTGTAGTATAATATACGATAACCGCGTTTCCCAAATACGGTTGTAGTATAAACCAAAACCGCATTTGGGAACTGCATTCCACGTATTATACGAGAACCGCACTTTCCAAATGCGGATATGTTTCCCGCCTTTCCGCCGGAGCCCGGCAACCAACACGTGTTTGGAAAATGCGTATATGAGAAACACATTTCCCAAATGCGGATATGCTTGCCACCTTTCCGCTGGAGTCCGGCGACCACAACATGCGTTTGGGAAATGCATATAGGAGAAACGCATTTCCCAAATGCGGATTTGCTCCTTTATGATAAAACCCCATTACCGGTTTCTTGATAAATCATCAGAAAGCATAGAAGTTATTAAGAAAGAAAGAAGAATAGAATTGTAAATCACCATTAAGTTTCGCACGTACAATTTTTTTTGAATGTTTTACCGTAATATGTTAAATGTGAAAGTAGTGAGATTTGTTTAGTGTTTTATTGATCGACTTACGAAGCTTAATTTAGTAATCATTTCGCAGGAAAATGCATTCATTTATGCGGTTGGAGTACAAATTCCAGTTAAAATTTGTGATTATCTTGTAAGCACATAATCCACGTTATAAACAGTAAATACGTGGCTAAGGAAAAGAGTTAGGATCACCAACCTCCAGCCATAGCTTTGATTCTTGATCACCAGGGACTCGCTGCAGAAGTTCCTCGGGCTGCTGTAGAATCTGCGTAAGTTTCAGTTATGTTTCTCTCACTTCTCTCAGTGACTCTAGATAGGTGTATGATACGTCAACCGAGCAGTGAGAGGACTTAGGGGTCTAAATAACCTACATCCCATCAATGTAGGTAACCAATTACCTAATGCTGACTAAGTTCTAATACTTAGTCAGCCTATTGATTTGCACCACTTAAATTACTATTGTTATTATATAATAATAGACTTAATAATAATAATAACAATATAGGGAAAACGTTACATTCTCCCACTTGGTGCAAATGCGGAACTCAAAAACAGGATTTACACCAACCATAATGATATGTCCTCTTTAGCGCAAGTAATATCCATTATGATCAAATGCAAATTGCCTTTGAGTACTTTAGGTAATCAAACTTTAATGAAACAAACCATATGTTCATTTCAAGTCCACTGAAGTATGTTTCCTTATTGAGATAAACTGAATTGTGTACACACTCAAAGAAAACATCTGAAGTATCTGAAAAACTGAAGTGCAAAAGAATTTCATTATTCAACTGAATGTATATACAAATTACAAAGAGGACGAAAGTCCTATTTTCTTAATCAGATCCTTAAATTTAAATGGAGGCATGCCTTTAGTAAAGGGATCTGCTAGCATCAACTCAGTATTAATGTGTTCAATGAATACAACTTTATTCTTGACACGCTCCCTAATGGCTAAGAACTTGATGTCGATGTGTTTACTTCGACTCCCACATTTTTCGTTCTTAGCTAGGAAGACTGCAGCTAAGTTGTCACAATAAACTTTAAGTGGCTTAGATATAGAATCCACAATTCTAAGTCCATAGATGAAATTCTTGAGCCACACACCTTGCGAAGTAGCCTCGAAACAGGACACGAACTCGGCTTCCATGGTAGAAGTAGTTATTAAGGATTGTTTAACACTTCTCCATGAAATAGCCCCACCGGCCAATATGAAGACGTACCCGGAAGTTGACCTCCGAGAATCAACACAGCCAGCGAAGTCCGCATCAGAATAGCCAACAACATCCAGGATGTCCATCTGCCTAAAACCCAACTTGAAATCTATAGTACCTTTGAGATACCTTAGAACTCTCTTCACAGCTCCCCAGTGATCCATGCCCGGATTATGCAAGTACCGCCCCAACATACCGACGGCAAAGGCAATGTCAGGCCTTGTACAAACTTGAATATAGCCAAGACATCCAACCGCTTCAGCATATGGAA